GTCCATCCTTTAAAACGTGCGTCAATNAAAACGAAATGACTTACTCCTTTGTGACATGGATGGTTGATAATATCTGATTCAACAGAAGGAAAATGGGTGATGTTCTTGAGGTGCTCTAGCTTAGTGCAATGTTGCATGTTGCAATCATAGGATTCTTATATATACACAATTCAAGTGTTTATATACCTTGGACGTGTAATGGGGCTTTCATTTGACTGATCTAGCAAATTCTTATTTCTTCGTACATAGCATTTCATATTGATTCCCTTTAGAAGTTCTCCTTTGTAAAATTATATTAACTTTTCCTAATTTTTTTGATTTTAAAAGACAAATTTGATAGTGAGTGTTTGTGATTCGTGCTGACAGAGTTGGTGATTTATTATTTTTACTGGTTTTATTAGGTTGTAGAGGGAAGAAAATTTTACTAGTTTCATAATATAAAGCCAGGAACTAAAATATTTAATAACAATAATTAGTTTAATTTAGAGAATTAAATGAAATAACTAAAGTTTTTAAAGATGTTTTTATGATGATGATGGTCTCGTTGATGAAGAAAACTTTTTAGTCTTTTACAGTGGTTTGAGCAAGAAAAGAATTAATGAAAACCCTACAATCAAGTTTAAGAATGTTTATATATGATTCCTTTCACAACTTTTTATTTTGTATATCCTCTAAAGTTACTTTATACCTTTCTTTATCATCATATTTGGATCACAGGTCTTATATTATGTTTCACGATCCAGGTCTTATATCATCATGATATTAGTCGAATGAGCTTATTTATTGTACCACCACAATTACAGATTGCATCTATAGACATTCATTTAATCTGAAATAGTTTGTCAACAATTGATGCACTAACAATGTGGTCCTATATCACCACGGTGACAGCAGTACAATGTTCATCATGACTCCCTCAAAATATGATCTTAATCTTCCATATTCATTATTCTGGGAAATGCTAGTATTCCAAACACATTACTGAAAATTTAACAGTGAGATTATACAAAATATTATCCTCGTCTAAATACCCGGATTACAACATTTAAATATAAGAGTTTCTCATTTATCATGTTCAAAAGCTTGCAGCAACATTTAATCGATTAAAAGGCAATTACACACAATTTTTGCAGAGGTTATAATGCAACATATAAAAGATCAAAGGGTAAAACAAATAAATGTTTTGTAAACAATGGCATGCAATAGAACAAGACCAAAACTCCTTCAAACCACCCGAATCCTCAAGCACCGATTCCAAAAGTAAGAAAGAAAGAAAGGTGCAGAGTAATTTGTGTAGTTCAACCACCACTCTCATCCCTCAATTTTCTTAACTTCGATTCAACTTTTTCTCCATCATAACTACGATTCAGTTCAAACTCTTTTCAATTTCTGTTTCTCCATCAAAACCTTCTACTTCTCCGCCGTCTTTATCGCCATCTTCTCCCTTTGTGTCCTCCCGCCTTTGACAGCCAATGGCGTCGTCTCGACGGTTCTCTAGGTGTCGTCCTAGGCCGCCAATGATGAAGGACAGGAAATATGTTGCTGGGTAGTGCCATCAATCTCCAATTTCTGAAATTGATTTCCAATTTGTATGAACCTACAAAGAAGCAGAACGAAATTTTCTCAAACCCTAATTCAAACAATTTGAATTCCCAGTTCATTCTCAATGTTTAATTTATTTTTTTGAATTTGTTTTTTTTTAAATAAAATAAAATAGACATGTCAAAATACACTAAAGAAGTCCACGTCATTTAAAAACCAATGTCAGTATGCCACATCAACCTAACACTAACGCTGTTAGACCCAATTTAACGTTAAGGGTCTAATTGTTGCAATTTTCACAAAATAAGGACTCAATTGAGACGCTGAAAAAGAAGGGGACTTAATTGAGATTCTGAACGAAAATAAGGACCTACGAAGACATTAAACCTTGATTCATCTTTCGAATGCTACAAATCTTCAACGCTGTGTATTCATGAATGGATGTAGGACAATAGTTACGTCTTTGGAGATAAACAGTAAATATGCAAATCCAAACACAACTAGAGATAGTAACTCTTTGAAGATATTTTCGAGAGTTTTCATAAGGACTGTTTTACTGTTTATAAGTTACTAAAATAAAATAGTAGCTAATTCCTTTATTATCTCATCAAACACGAATTTGAAAACAGAAAATTGTGGAGTGCCATATTTCTTTTGATTTTCCAAACTTTATTAGAGGATTAATTTGTCGATTACATAATATAAGATGTTCTCATATGTCATGGTACATAATGTAAACATGTAACTAAGATATTGAACACGAGGATAGGAAACGTATTTGAGAAAAACCTAACAAGTAGTCCATTTCAAGTGTATATGAAATAGAGATTAAATTGACTCATGATTAGCTAGTTTATAACTTATGAAACATAGAATTGTGTTATGTAGTTTTATTTCTAATTTGAGTATTTTTGTTTAAAATTTATTAATTTAGTATCTCAAACATTTTTCATATTAAAAAAATAAGATAAAAGAAGAAAGTAATAAAAAATTGAATGCATTATCTAATTTGTCTTAATAAAATATTTAAATATTTCTATTCATAACTTGTAAATGTGCTCTCGATTATGCATGAAATGATTGACCACACTCAAAGCACACTATGGCTTATCTTGTGTGACCTAAATATCCGGGCTTCTCTACAAACATGCAATATGAACCTTTATTTTTGATAGAGTTGTCATTATTAATCTCAGTTCTATAGGAATTTATGATTTTGTTCTACAGGAATTCTAAAGGCCTTGTAATCAATTTTTCATGTTTCTTTAAGAAGATATATAATATATTGAAGTATTTTAATTTTTCAAAATTCTTCATCTCGGATTAAGCAACAAGCTTACTGCGACATTCCCTACAAGCTTACTTTGACATTCTCTACAACAATCATTGTGATCTACATAGATCAATAGTAGAATATGTTTCCTTTCTAAGAAATGTTTGATAAAAGGGATCAATAGAAGAATATGTTTCCTTTCTAAGAAATGTCTGATAAAAGGAGTAAGGTCACTTTGACTTTGTTATGCCATAAGGAAATCTTAGCCTAAGTAAGTCTCTCAAATCAGATCAAGTTTCTACAAAACTTTTTTTAACCTACATACTGTATTTTCCCTTCAATGGTCCCAAATCCAGAAAAATTGCTACAGGTAAACTTTTCAAGTCATTTTCTACATCAACTTCCTAACCAAACCAAAACATGTTGATAATTAGATAATGATTCTAACAAATGTCTCCTCGTAATCAACACCGTATATATATATATATATA